CGATATTTTCTTGATATATTTCTAACATATTATAGTAATTATTTAATATTGTATTAAAACTTTCTGTAAGATGTCAAAAGATCACTCATGGTGTCTCTGAAACACTATTGTAGAACTCAGCAGAAAATACATGTATATTGTAGATTATATGGAGATGGCTCACCCAGTCGTTTGAAGAATTTGCACTGGTGGATTTGCAGAACAGTGAAATTGTGAATTTAAAATCAATAGTTCAGGATTGATGTGCCAAGGGGATTGATTGGCATGATGAAATAAGGAGAGAGAGATTATCACGAACGCCTATCCGGTCGGTTTATCTGTGATCACGGGAGTTCAGTTTTCCTCTCAGATCTCCTTTTGTATAAACTTCTAGGAAGTATGCGTATTCCAGAGCACCTGGAAGGTGAATCAATCCCTAAATTGTTAGTGTTTATGTTGCTAACCTTAGAGATACATTTCTGGATAAATTTGAAACTTTTCCTTTTGTATATTGTTGTCTGAAGGCTTGAACAGTTTGTCCTCGAAGCATCCATGGCCTTCGTTCTAAATGAACGAAAACCTGTGACTTATGTTTCTGAATTTCTTCGTGCAGATGATGTTATCACCAATATTCTGTTTAAATTAGTTTAAAGTAGTCTATTTCTTTCTCTCTTTCTAATACTTCTAAGAGTTAAAGTCTTTCAAATGTGTAATATCTTTCCACTATAAGATATATATATATATATATATAAAGTTTTACTTTATGGGTACATCATCACTTGCATTGAGATATGACATTACAAAATTACTATTAAAGTTATTAATATTTTGATTAATATATAAATATTTTTTATACATGGATTGACATCCTCTATTTGTGAATTAATAAATTTTATTAAAAAATCATATTATAATTTTTCTTTTTTTTTTTAAAAGTTTTTTTTTTTTTAATATAAAATTTTAAGTGAATATACATGGTAATAAATTCACCAAAATGGTACATTATCCTCTATTAAATGTGAAGGATATATGCAATTTTGTGGTAATAATTAATTTACTGCTTTTTATAAAGATGGCCACATGATTTCACAAAGTCTTGTGGTTAACTCTAGTCAAATCTTTTTTCTTTTTTTTTTTTTGGGTAAAATATTTACAAAACTAGTTTAGTCATAAATATGTGTTTGGGATTTTGAATTTATTAATGGGTAAGATTTATAAATTGTATACAATGTATAATAGTAGTTAAAATAAGTAAATATGTAATTTGCTTAATATATTTTTATTGTATTTACAAAGTTTTAAAATTATGGTACAATAAATTAAAAAAAAAATACGCAAATGAAAATTGAGTGATTTATGATTACCCAACTAGTCTCTCTGCTGTAGTCAACCTGGCTGCAACCGTTTTCCTCCAACTCTATCCGACGTAATTTCTATCTGTTTGGTAACTGAGAAAATCCTAGTTGTATTTTTAATTCTTTACCTCTATACTTCATCGTATTTACAAACCAAACTATAAAATATAAGAACACAAGTTAAGAGTATTTCTGTTATTTGACATTTAATAGGACGCGGTTGCTTGTATAATAGTAATCACAAGAAACTGTCTTACTATGGTAAAAAATTTCAAAATACCAAAAAAAAAAAGGTTGCTTTTTTATTTTTAATTTTTAAGGAGAGAGAAAAATAAAGAAAGGTCCAATTTTTTCATAGTGGGTATACGCGCCTGGTACATTACTCTACCGTTTCATGGTCTGCTTGCTTGGTCTCTTCTTCTCCATTGCTGTGATAAGCTTGACCAATTTTTTTTTTCCGTTTTATTTGAATTCTTACAGGAAACCAAGAGAGCTCCATACGCAGAGAAGAAGAAGAAGAAATAAGTATGTCATCTTCAAAGTCTCAAACTTTCAAAGAGAGGCTCAAAAAGTGCTACATGGGTGGCTGCTTATTTCTTCAACAAACTCAATAAAGCTCAAGTCACTGACACTGATATCTCCTCCTCCGTTGGTTCGTTTTCCTTCAGATTTTCTCTTTAGTTTCTGTCGTACACAATCTGGGTTTTTGATCTCTATCTCTGTTTGCTCGCCTGACACGAATGAGAACCAAAAGGTGCAAGCTTTGAGCTTTGGCTAGCTTTTTCAAAGCTTGTTTTTCTCTGATCAATGCCGGATAATGCTGTTTTGCTTTCTCTTTGTTGGTTATCTGCCCTGTTTACTGTAATTTCAGTATAGGATTGAGAGTTTATAAAGGTTTTTACTTGCAGAGTTCATGGGGTTGACTTCCCTGGTATGGGTCCACCTCTCATTTCTTCTGGGTGACATGTACATTATTTGATAAAATGCTTGAATTGGGTTTCTTTTTGTTGTAATGTTTGAATTGGCTTAAACCCATATGTTCTTTTTGTTTGTTCCTTTGAAAATTCTGATATATGACTTTTTTCCGGATGTGTACGGATGGTATCATGTTTGTATGTATTTATTGAATAAATCTATTTTTCAAGGCTGTAGTTCAATTCTTCGGGGTATAAGAGTTGACTGAAATCTCTCGATAAGTTGAGAAGTGGCTACTTGGGAAACACCGATTTTTTAATCTAATTCAGATTCTGAAACTGCTGGAATTCGATATAAATACTAGTTTGATTGATTTTTTTGTAGAGTTTTTGCGCTCGCACTGTGTTGTTATTCATATTTATAATTTTTTATTTCGACAAATTTTTTTGTTATGAACTTGTCACAGAGAATGATTTTTATTATGAACTAACTTATAACAAAGTAAAAGACTGATGTAAAAACAAGAAAAAGTCTTGCATGTGACTTTCTTAAAGCCTTCATCTCCCATCGATATAGTTATCTGCAGAAGATGTAAATATAGAAGAAAGGGGAAGCTTTACATTTTTCATATTTAAACATTATGTTTGGTTCAAGTTATCTATGAAATATTTCTTGTAATGTGGGTGAATAATCACTTTTACTCTTGTTTGATTCAAGGAATCTACCAAGATTTATAAGATCATATGGTTATGCATATAAGAGAATTTATTCTTGAGTAAGTAAATTCTCATAACTCTATTTTCTAATTATCTTTTAACAAATCAGATATAACAGTAAAATATTTCTAGTAAATCTCAATATCTCAACCAAATACAGTAATTACATACTTTCTCATTATGCATAATTCTAGTAGTGTAACTTCATAGTAATCTCTTGAGAATATATTTGGATTCATGGATCAAACCAAGTGGGTCCCTTAGGAGGGAGAGCGAAAAGAGTTAAAACTTTTCAGTAATCAATTTCTTATTTATCCTTAAGTGTCTACCTTTTTATTTTTTCAGTAAATATATGATCGAACATATTCATCATATGTATTCTTTCTTTTCCTTATCTATATGAACTAAAAGAGTTCCACTAATTCTCTCATTTCCTTTCCCTTAAGTTTAGTTACCATGACAAGAGAGACATATTTTCTCTTATTTTCTCAATACAAAATCCTTATTTCCTTTCATTTCCTTTATTTCTATCTAAAGATATTTTGCCTTTGGCAATTGAAAATTTTAATAGAATAGAATAATTGAATACGATGATATTACAAAATAGTTAACGACTGAATTTTATTATGTGTAAAAAGATCACAATAGTATTCTTTGATTAAATAGTTTAAATAATTAATATAAGTAATATACTAATCATAAAATCTACTAACACAATACTTTGAAAATAATTACTATGAAATAACTAGTATATTGTATTGTTAAATTTATTAATATAATGATGAATAAAAACAAAGAAAGTCATGACCTTTAAAGGTGGGATCAATGGGAGGTTGAAATGATTAAATATGCTCCCTCCTGTTGTTGACTGCTGTTGGTGGTTGTCGAAAACCATATGTAGGAATCAACATCGAGCAAGGATGGTCGGTCGTTGCTAAATAGGTTAAAGAAAGTGAAGTTAAAAAAAAAACTTATGCTGTCCCTATTGGGTAAGCTTTATTCACCAATTTTTAGATGAATAACTTAGTCAATATTGTATTACCTATTCATCACTTTTTGAATCCCGAACAATGAATATAGTAGGGTAAGATCGCTTAACCTACCTTACTCGTCATACTAAGCATAGTCACAGTTAAACCTTGGATAAGAACTTGCATAGAAGGATAGAAAATTTCATCAAATCTATTATATGTCATTGATTTTATAGCTTCATTGACATAAAAATGTTTTAATAGAAGTGAAGTTTTAAAACTTTATTGAGATGAAAATGTTGATTTGGAGAGATGGGTTTTTGTAAATATTTTATATAATGCCTATCTTTTATCTTATCCCTTTGGGTAATAACATAAATTTTATATTTTATCTTCAAATGTCTAGTTTTTTATC